TATTGCAATATTTTTAAAAAGAATACTGCCTTTCAAGGAAAATAAGTCTCAATTATGAACTTTCATAATTTGTCCCGATGTTTAATATTTTTGGTCGAAGTATTGCCATAAGTCATTATACCGAGAGCTGTTTATAATATTTTGGTATAACTATAAGAAACTCCTCAGCATACAAAACTCTCATGATGATGCGCTACAATGCAAACTACTAATATCAGAAATATAATGCAGGTTTGGGGTGTAAAGTGTGTATTCCTAATACAGTAGTTACCTATAATGAAGTATGATTTCTCAATTCGGTCATTCAATAAAATGTATTATTATTATTATTATTATTCAGTGAAATCATATTCTCTTGGTCGCCACGAGAGGGCACTGTGGTAAAAAATATGAACCGGACTGTCGTCAGGCAATGCATACGGTGCGTCGAGGATTTGTATGCAGCACTCGGTGTGTTTGAGGAGACACCGTCGTCACGATTTGGTTACACATATCATGTAAATATGTATTGTAATGTAAGCATGTATTTTAAAGAATTTACAGACTCTTTTCGAAGGCCTTGAGTGGAGAATAGTTGAAAAGCTGAAAAACTCTTTGTTTTTTATTTTTTATATTGAGCCTGGTAGTCATTGACAAGGCGTCTCGCGTCTCGCCATTTGCAGATTCAATTCTGTAATTTCCCTTCTAGCAGACATCAGGAAACACTTTTTGAAGGCTTTCTGCCCAAAGCGTTGTCCTCAAAGGGCAGTGCGCACAAACATGCACGTCGTCTGAGGTGCGGGCCAGGAAAAGAGAATGAAATTGTTGTGTGTCTTCAGAAAACTATCAGACAGCAAGGCATGTCACACAGACAGTGTGTGCGCAGAGGGCAGCACAAGACGTGCGGAGATTGCATAACCCGTTGAGGATGAAGAACATGTGGTTTCCATATAAATCCCCCAGTGCAGACGGATGCTTGTGTAAAAACAAAACTTTGAAAGCATTTACTTCACACTGTGCTAATGATGTAATGACGCTGATCAGAAGGAGGCTTTATTTGAAAGTAACAACTCATCTTATTTGGCTCATAAAATAAAACCCCAGGCTCATTTAAAAACTAGCAGTCCCAAAAAGCACAGTGGGTTTTTTGTTTTAGTATTTAGTGCCTTTTACTTACATTTCACAATCTTTGTGAACATGCCTTTGACAATAGCTCCAAAAATATTACAGTTAGCTATAGAATAGAAATAATTGTAAATAAATATTTTTGTTTGACAGCTCAACAGTATGATGCCATGACCCCAATCAGACGACTTTCTGAAAGATGAACTTTCGATTGAATTGAGTCTTCACCACAGGAACATGGCTTTGGCTCGACAGCAGCAGGTGAACGCAGCTCCTTAATTTATTGAACCATTCTTACACTCATGCTTACATGTTCCTCACCCCTCATCAAGGTGCAGTTGCTACAAGTGACACGGAAATCCAGATGTCACTTAGTCTGGCTTGGACCTAAAAGGGCTCCAAACCACTCGGCTGAGCCGCTCATGGGCATAGTGCTGTCCCCCTCCCCACCTCCCAACCACACAGAAAAGACAGTGTAAAGCTCAGAAACAAAAACAATGGGTGACATGGACAAAAAGTGCAAGACTGGAACAACTATTAAAAGAGCATCTCTGTCAAAAAAGTCTGCGAGAGTGTGCCAGACAGTGTAGGTCATTAATGAATGTACCGTCAGTGACATCAGTCAGGGCCGTAAGTTCCAGCAGCCCTGACAGAAAACAGTAATTCCCTTGTGGATCACGGTGCGGCGACAGACCTCCTGACCTGGCAGACACAACGCCATGAATAGTCTTCCTGGAATGGGAGCCTATCACATGCACACCGAGAAACTTTTACTGGCACTGTTGCTCTTTTCAGCTCTCTCTTCTCTATATTAGGCCCACTGGAAGTACTTGCTAATATATAACCATGAGAGCAGATGAAGCAAATCAGCATGCCTGCCAAATAAAACTTGGGTTTTCTGTGAAGATGATCATATTCAAAGTGCAAGATATATAATATGTTGCTTTGTCTGATTGTTTTGATTCTCTGCAAGAAATTACTTTTTACGCTCACAGATCAGATCAAAACACTTGGGGCCCTATTTTGGTTTCCATTTGAGGTCTTGTGCATCATACCGTCTAACTGTGCGCGTGGGTGGAGTTATCCTTCTTTTGGTATTTTGTTAGACTTTGACCAGGTAGAATTGGACGTAAGGGGGCATTTGCGCCAATGTGCATCGTCATGAAATGGAAGTAGACATTTTTTCGGCCAATCCGAGCAGCATTCCTCATTTGCATCAAAATCAGAGCGGTCAGAGTCCAGCATGCCCGACGACACCGTGCTTGACATTACGGAAAGAGAAATAAACACCGTGGGTGTACGGGTCGTACACGACATTGGCGGGTAATTTGCAAGATCAGGGGCGGAGCCAGAAATTCTTCAGTGGGGTGGCCAGTGTTGACACAACACCTCGGAGAGGAGTGGCCAGCAGTGACTGTGTGTGTGTGCGTGTGTGTGTGTGTGTGTGTGTGTGTGTGTGTGTGTGTGTGTGTGTGTGTGTGTGTGTGTGTGTGTGTGTGTGTGTCCATCATTCTTTACCATACCATCCACGGTCAGAGAATCATGACATTGAATTCAAACATTTCCAGAACGCTGCCCGTCACATTCATAATCAAACATAAGTTAAAAAAAAAGCAACATCGCGCCAAGCATAATTTACTACAGTAGATAATGCCATTTACTGTGCAGTACATTTTTCTTTTCTGTACTATCTCGTCTATTTCAATCTCTTGCACTGATTTACGAGTTAACAGCCAATCAGAATGAACAATTTCCACTGACGGCAAAGTTAGTAAAGTTACGTCCAGTGAGATGTAGCGCGTCAACCAAATTCACAAACGCGCTTAACTAGACCATTGTGCCGGCATGGAAACAAAGTGACGCCTGTTTTTAGACCGAGCATCACTCAACCAAAACAGGGGCCTTTATTTTCACCACATGAGTTCTTTTGCATCATAGCTTTATTTTATCCCCAAGTCTTCAAAATTGTGGACACTGTTCGCACCCATACTAGAAACCGATTTGATGGTGAAAGACCTGACCCTGACTTTTAGTCGGAGCCCTTGACAAGGTCAAACAACACCATCACCTCCCAACCATCACCTCCTAACTCATTTTAAAGCCATTGTTTGTCAATTTGACAAACAGTACAATGATGCAACCAAGAACGTTTTCTGTAGTCCCTATCAATTGAATCTGTTTTAGGAACGCACACATTTTACTGGACCGTCAGTATTACTTGGGTTGGTTGATCAAAGAAAAACAAAGATCTCCAATGATTTTATTTTGTTTGTGCGACTACATGTAGTGAACACCTGCAAATTTACACTATCAGATTTTTTTTTTGGGGGGGAGGGGGAGGACCTCCATTATTTGCTCAAGAATTCACCTGTTCACTGTTTTAGTGCTCGTACGGCGGAATAAAATGACTGCTTTTGCCACCATGTTGTGGCATCTTGGTGCCAAGGAGGAGGAACAGTTGTGCTTGGTGACATCTATAGGCAATGATAAAAGTTTTGGAGGAGGAGTCAATTGCTCAGAAATGTTCCCTATTCGCGACAGTGCTTGTTATCACCTCTGAACAGTATGGGCTTACTGTATATGTGGTGGCCTTTGAATGCATTCTTGCAAATAGGAATGAACTGTAGCTTCTGTTTTTTTTCCATCAAAAGATAGCAACAGTGGGAACTTGGGAAGACACACTGGAAATTGACAAGCGTAATGAATAACTGCATAGTGGGAGGTGGGCTACACCCTGACTTGGTTGCAAGCCAATCACAGGGAATAGGATACACGATATGAATCTCTCTCTCTCTCTCTCTCTCTCTCTCTCTCTCTCTCTCTCTCTCTCTCTCTCTCTATATATATATATATATATATATAGATATATATGCACACCCACACACTGGGCCCGCACACTTTTGAATATTATGGACACGTACGGTTGTTGGACATGAGCCATGAATCCGTGAGGATACAACATGTTATTGTGAAGCTCGGAGCGCAGTTATTATGTCATTTGGGTAACTTTGTTTTGCTAAATTAAAAATATGCTACAAAAAAAAAACAAACAAGCATACACTGTATTTTAAAACAATTCACAGCATGTAAGCCATCCATGATGACAAATTTATTTGTATCGTTGAGAAAAAGGGAAGATAGGTATCGGCTGGATACTGGCATGTCGTTAGCATGGCAACCACGTGCCACAAGCATGCACATTAGGTTAATTTAAGACTCGAAATTTGCCCAAAGACGTGAATGCAAGTGTGGTTGAAAATCAAGAAGGAAAGAAAAGACAGGTGTGACTTGTACATATCATAGCATCTGAGACAGTTTAACTTTCCATTACATGCTGCACGAGACAAAGTGGCATAAATACATTAAAGTGTCATGGCATACAACAGCGTGCAATTTGGCATTCAAAAAAATGACATCACCTGAGCCAAAGCTATGACAAAAAAAAGTTTTCCACGCCTGTATAGTTCAGGTACACCTAGACAAACATTTTCTGACAACATAACTACATACACTATTATGATAATCAGGGTGCCCCATGTTGGTCTTACTTCCTTTGGCTTGAGATGAAACATTTGTCACAACAAAATATGCAACATTTTTCATGTCAATCTGTAAACAAGACAATCAGTCACCATTTGACACATTATTAGCAAACACATGATTTGTAGTCACTGGATGGATACGGGCACTTGATGGTTCACCTAAATTAGGGTTTTGCACATGGTTTTAAGGCAAAAAAGGAGGGGGGGAAAAAAGCACTTCATCGTGGAGAACATCCTATTCGACATTACTGGCACATTTATCATCACATTAGAGTGTGTGTGTGTGTGTGTGTGTGTGTGTGTGTGTGTGTGTGTGTGTGTGTGTGTGTGTGTGTGTGTGTGTGCGTGTGTGTGTTTACACAAAGTAAACTATTTTTCAAACAGTGTTCTAGTGAGCCGTCATGCTTTATCCCTTGGGTATTTTGACTAAACAATGTCAGAGACCATTTTAAGACCCTTGAGAACTGTTTGGTTCATTCATCAAAATTTGGTTACATTAATATTTGTTTTGTTTTTTTGGGGGGGGGTTGCAACTGTCAGTGTAAAAATCTGTGTACTGTATCACCGATTGTCAAGCAGACACACGTTTGGCAAAATACATTTAGCTAAAGCTTACTGGGTCATTTATTTACAGTTTAAGTACCGTATCTTGATGTTAGGGCAGAACATGATTATATTTGAGCGGGTTTGGGTTCAGAGCGGTGAACCAAATTTCAAGTGTTCATCTTGAAATCAGAAGGTTTGAGACACCATGACGGAGGGCATCAATTGTAACAGTTCATTTGGGTCATCTCCTCAGGCCAAGAGTTTTTCTGGGTTCTTGGAGAGGCTCTGCAGCAAACTCCTTTGAAAGCTTTGCTCAGGTAATTCAGGAACCAGGAACTCCAATAAAAGATCACAAATGCTGTAAACCAGGTGTCTAATAAAAGGGAACATGGGAGTTGAATTAGTGATGGGAACAAAACCTCGAGTGACTGTACTAAATCACCAGAACCTAGATTGTTAAGATTAAAAATTCGTTCAACAAACCAATCAGCGCTTCATCAAGAGAGTCATGATGAGGTTCACGTTTACTTCATGGTCCATAGTGGACAGTCACTGGCGAGTTTACTTTGAGTGGTACACATGCAATAAAATCACTTGAGGTGAGTCCCTGTCCTTTATATTCGAAGTTTCAAATATTGTAAACTAGGAAATCACAGCTATAAGTGCAGTAGAGGCACAGAGGTTATAATATTGCAGGTACAAGTATAGTATAAGTATTCATTATTTTCCATCCATCCATTTTCTTGCGCTTATCAGGGGTCATTTCGAAGGGGCAGCAGCTGCTCTACCATGGAGCCCCAGACTTCCCTCACGCCATCAACTCTTCCTTCCAGGGGCTCCCAAGGTGTTCTGTTCGCAGTCCAATGGGGAGACATAAGCCCTCTCTCAATTTGCGTTCTTGTAATACTGCGGAATGTCATCAGTCGCGGCCCAAGTACGATTGCAATTCAAAGCACCAATAAACCAGCAACGCACGGAATACCTGGACGTAATTTTCTTGTCAGCTAGCATAAACCAAGGATATATTGGTTGGATACTTGTGAAGGCATGGTGAAGAAAATATCCCACGATGCATTTCCTCTTGTTATCATGGAAATCAGTCAGTTGGAGGGGAAGCTAACAAGTAGTTAACAAGTATGCAGTCGTTCCAATATCCAAAATACTCACGATCTTATGAAGAACGTTCTCGTGTAAGTTTTTAAGAAGACACTACTTGGCGAGTTCACAAGACCGTACTCTACGTTCTTCAAATTGAAAAACGGCCATAGTCCTCCAGCGTGTTCTCGGACATCACAGGTCCGATCTGGGATCTTGTTCTTTCAGTCAGGGCCCACAGCTCGTGAACACAGAAGAGGGTGGGGACATAGATCGACTGATAAATTGAGAGTCTGCTGCACTGATCAAACTGTCGACCTCCCACTCCCATTCTGCCCTGATTTGTAATCAAGACCTCAAGATTCTTGAGCTACTTCAATTTGGGCAGGATCTGACCTGGAAAGGGCAGAGCAACCTTTTCCGACTGAGGACCATGGTCTCAGATTTGAAGGTTATCATTGCAACTGCTTCACACTTGGATATGAACTGCTGCTGTTAGAGTTGGGGATCGTAGCTGCATGTCGCCGAAAATACCACATCATCTGGACAAAGCAGAGATGTAATTCTAAAAAAAACAAACCGGAGCCCCTCTACCCCTCAGCTGCACCTTGACATTCTGTCCATGAAGGTTATGAGCAGAATCGATGACGATCGAGTCCAACCCTCACTGGAAATAAATCTGACTTATTGCCAGCAATGTGGTCCAAACTCTGACACCAGTCGCACAGGGACCAAAAAGACTGTATGAGGGGGTTTGATGCCCCTTATACTCACAAAGCAACCCCCACAGGATTCCCCGAGGGATACAGTCAAACGCCTTCTCTAAGTCCACAAAACTCATGAATGAAAACCACAACGCTCCTCTTGGATTTGAGAGTCACCTTCCCGACTAACCCTCTTTTCAAACACCCCTGAATAAACATGACCAGGGAGGCTGAGGAGTGTCACCCCCCTGTCGTTGGAACACACCGGTCAGGTCTCCCTTTTTGAGAAGGGGTTTCGGAGGCTGCCAAACTGAAGGCACTGTCTCCGATGATCATGCAAAGTAGCAGAGGCATCTCTGATGATCTCAATCAGGACAACTCCACAACATCCTGACCATTAGGAACTCGAGGAGGATCTCATCCACCCTTCGGACCCTGTCAGAGAGCAGCTCTTAGACCACCTTGGTCACCTCAAACGCAGCTTTTTTGGAATGTGTAACAGCCGTAAAATTCAAGTTATTTGCTGAAACCAATAATGTTTATTAAATATCTTGTCTTTGTCATGTATTAACTTAAACATAGACTCCACATGACGTGCAAATCACTGTATTCTGTTTTTATTTATGTTTAGTCCTTTCGGGGACAGCGGTTACCACAGTGGACAGCTCAACATCTTAGGGTACAGGGCGCATGAAAGAGTTAAGACAACGTCCCAACTTCATTGAAATTGGTTTTGGATAAACTCCTTTTTGAAAATGATGTTCTGAGACTGAATGGGCCAGCAGCAGTTTAGCTTTTTTTAAACTGGGGTGTAATCGAAATGTACCGGTATGCATCTTTAGGGTTAAGAAAAAGAGTGCACAATAGTGGTATGGCTTACCTGTTAATGTAGGGGTTTTGGAAGGAATCAAGGACAATCTCCCAACTGAGTTTGTACTTCTCTGAGCTGAGAAAATCGGTGACTACATCTGTGGGAACAAAGGCAAGAAAAGCTTACTGCCTAAATCATTTTCATATCAAGAGTATGGAAGCGAGTACTGTGGTATTATATGAGTTCCTTACAAACTGGCATTTCAACTTTAACTGTCCTCAACAAAACCCCAAAGAAGAATATTGAGACCTATATTCTCTCTAAGCTGAGCACATGCACTGTTCACGCCCCCCTCAGCGCACGGCGCATGCAGCCAGCCAAGTGCAGTATGCGCCAACCGTTACGCCTGCAACACATCTTAAAAACCACCTCACGAGAGACAAAATCTTTTTTGCGATATTGGAGAGGTTTTGAAAGTGTGTGTTTCCATCACCAGTGTGCATTTTGTGCATTCCCGAGGGCAATGGAAACACAGCTACAGACAGGCAAACAACCTACATTTGCAGAGGGTTGTGTCCCGCTTTAACAATGTTATAACTTGACCCTTTCTATTTTTAGGTGAGGAAAAGCTGTGTGGTTCTCAAGGGTTTGCGAAGAAAACAGTGGCCAAGACCATTTCAGAGGCCTATTCGTTATGCCAAACTGCCTTCGCCGCCACACTGTTTTGGCAGGAGCCACAGTGCTTTTAGTGCTGAAGGTAATGATGTCCTGACAGGTAGAGATCAGCTTTCTGCTGTTGTCTAACATGACCCCAATACGCTCATCGATGGAGGCTTTCACTGAAATTCCACATGTGCATGCCACAAAGTTAAAAAGTAGTTGCTCTGGCACTCTCAAGCCATTGGAGGCCAAGGGAGCTCGGGTGCAGTTTTTGTCGTGTTCCAAATGATGTGTGAGTAGGAGGCAGATTTTATCATGGTGCATGTGAGGGCACCCAGCTGTGTCTGATTCATTGCCGTCAGCTTTTCTGTCGAATAAGGGGGAATGAGAAAGAGGAGGCAGCGGCAACTTCATGAAGGATCTCCTCAGCTGTTAGATCAGCAACATATAGAACTACTAAGGTATGAAAATGTAGTCAAAGCTAATTTTCATTCGCAGTCTCTTGGCAAACCAAAGCAATCCACATCACATAATGACAATGTAGCATTTAGGATGACACCAAACCTTAGTTTTAAAGGTGAAATCTCTGCACACCCTCTGGTGCCAAGGTGAATTTCTTCTGTCCTGTTCCACATGAAAGGTGCTTCACTTATTCCCACTCCTTTTCAGATATGTAATGAAACTGTTTTATATTTCATGCGGGGGGTGGGGGGGGGGGGGGTTTGTCTATTATTGTACTTGTTTTTTTAAATTATCGTGGAACGTGTTCAAAAAAAAAATTTGATATCTCTGTCTGTGATGGGGTTTATGGGACAATCCTTTTCCAAAACAGACATACAACATAGCACTCCATTTCTGTGGTGGTCTCGAGCAAACATAATTTGAAGAGGAATGTAGTCTGTCAATGTGTCTTTGTGCTCCGCTTTTCTGTGACACGATATACACTCTTGTCAGGAGATTGACAGATTAAAAAAAAAAAAAAAAAAACTTTACCCACCAAATCTGAAAAGGACTGATGTGCCAAAATGTTACTTTAGAAATGTGACTACGTCTGTATAGTGTGATTTTGAACAGAAATTATTAATTATCAACTCCGATAGTGCATTTTAAAGTTAAACATTTGATCCAACCCCTGAGTATCCCACCCGAAAGTTATTGATAAATTAAAAATATGCAAGAGCGCCAACAATTTTTGTTTCATCTGTTTCAAAATGAAGTGCTGGGGACAGTCTAAATACCGTAAGTTCCACATTATAATGTGCACCTAAAAGCATTAATTTTTTCAAAAGCCGACTGTGCGCTTTATAATCCGATTTGCCTTATATATGGATCTGTATTCTGATTTCTTGGACATAGACTTTTAAATGTTCTGTAAAGCGTTTTGTTACAGCTGCAGCGGTTGTGAAAGCTCAACATAAATAAAGCTGTTCTGTATTGTATTGTATTCCCTTTAGCGTAGCTCCATCTAGTAGCTGCATAACACAACCACAGCCACTATTGTAGCTGCGTCTTATAATGCGGTGCACCCTATATATGAACACAGTTTTAAAACAGGCCATTCAGTGAAGGTGCGCCTTCTACTCCAGAGCGCCTTATAGTGCGGTCCATGAAACCTGCCCTCGGCCCCCCACCAACTTGTAGTCTTTAGACAGATTGTTTTGGTCCTTAGAGCCAAATTGTGTACCTGGCAGAAGACTCATCAGACAATGTAAGGCTTGTTTCTTGGTGTTGTCCTTCTGCTGCTGGCTTCGTTCTATTTGCGGTGAGGTGGGCAAAACTCCTCCTGGCCACACAGACTCCTGGATGACCTGAAGGTAATGGACCCAGTATCTGGTACATGTCAGATTGGCCACACTCACATCCAGCCATCTGAAATTTGAAAATAAAAACAGTTTCAGGTTTGAACCATTGAAGAAAATTTGGTTTCCCGGTAATCAGATTTTGTCATAAAAGTACGTTGATGTACCGTATATTTTCTTCACGTTTTTTTCAGGCTAAGAAAACCACCTCGTTCTTACAAAATAATGTAATATCATACAAACGCACATCGACAGTCTGTTGAACCTGCGGTCACTACAGGTTAACAAAACAGTCATTGAGTTCACTGTATTGTGACCTTGACATTGTGCCTGACTTGACTGACACTGAAAAATCATGGCAGACCAGTCAGTTGTTTTTTTTTTCATCTATTAAATTAAAATGACAATTGGTCTTATTAGAAATTCCAAAACTTTGGCAAAACGAGACAGGCTAATGCTCAGTGATCTTTCTACCGGGCTGCACACATTATTTGTTCTATTTATTTAAAAATAAATATATTTATTTTTTTTTGCATGTGAAGTCAAACCCTTCCATGTGGAATGGCTTGAACAAGATATAAAAAGCCAGAAAAGGTCAAATGACAAATATTAGATTTTACACTGTAAAAAATAAACAGAAATTGTAAATTTTCTTTCCAATATATTCAATGCAGCTCCACGACTCTAAACACGGTATTCTGATTAATATTGTGTTTGTGGAAGATAAATTAAGCGGCAAACACACCCGTTTTTAATCCATCTCAAGCAGTGGCCATTTTGCCATTTTGCCACTTGCCGTTGCCTTAAAAGGACATCGCAGTCGCTCACGGCTCGGGTCACAACCAATCACAGCTCACTCATCTGTTTTCTGAGTTTGGTCATGTGACATTCGCTAGCTGAGCCGTGATAGCTCGGTACCTGAGCCCCTGAGCAACTGTGATGTCATTTTCAGTCGACAGTAAGTGGCGAAATGGCTGGCCCCTGAGATGGATGAAAAAGAGTGGATTTTGCTATGTAATATATATTCACTCATGCAATATTAATCAGAATACAGTACTGCTACTGGGACTTGCGGGGCTGCATTGAACATATTGTAAAGACATATGTTTTGGAGCAAATGGGACAACTTTACCCACAATAGCCACAAGTGCCATTGTTTATGCTCTTTACATTGTTTATATTGTCTATACTGTTTATACTGTTCAGATTACATATTATGTCTTTTATACAGTGTAGCTGCTATCTTGTCTTCGCTGTGTGTGTTTAATGCACAGCATGTTTGCATGCATGTTTGCACTGAGGATTGAGAGGAAGAAATTTCATCTGTGCTGCAAGTCATACATAAAGCATATTTGACAATAAAGATGACCTTGACCTTTGTTATGCTAGTGTACCACCCAAGTATTGAGCTGGGATTAATCCAGACCTAATTTCTGTAGAATGCACTGTTAGTGTTAGTCCTGGTTCCACTTAAGAGCCTCTTCGTCAGTAAACTCGATTACATCAGAGATAATTGTGAGGACAACAACAGGAACATCCTGAAAACAGTTTACATTCCCACAGATGAAATCATTCATTTATAGCCTGTGAGCAAAAAGGAAGAAATCCCCAGTCATTATGTGGATGTGGCAGGACCATGACCAAACAACTCCAGGGGAAAAGGAGTTTCTTTTTAAGATCAAAGCCTATTGTTCGAGAGAAGGCACATCAAACCAGAGAACGACAACCGCTTGGATAGAATGAGAAAAGTCAAGTTGTCCGGCAAAGGTTCACTTAAGCAAGTCAAGCGAGATATTTTTGAACAGCAACATCACGAAGAGAAAAAAATTGTCTTGAGTAGATAATGATTTTGTACTCCCTTGTAGGCCAGAAAGGAGGCAGATGTTTCTTCACTGATTAATATTTGGGGGCACAAAACCAATCAAACTTGTAAGGAAAGAGAAGATTGAATGTATATGTTCTTAAAACCCTGTCCCGTCACAAAATTATCCGAAAAACCCTTGGAATAACATTCCATATCTGCAAGGCATCAAGTCACTTTGGGAACAGTCAGATGTGCTGCAATTTAGTCAGATTTAGTGACTTTCCAGATTCAAAGACATGGAGAGCCATTGTGTGGAAAAATGAAAAAGTGACCCCTGTTGATCCAGACTTGTAACTGCTAAAAATAGCCTAAATCTGACATGGTACTTAATGCGGCAGAGAGGAAAATATCACAAAGGCATACACTATCAAACTCAATGATACAGCTGTGAATAATCTATTTGCTTCCAATGCTTCACTTACCATCTTGGCAACAAAAGTAATTGAGCACCAGGTGCTGAGTAAAAACAGCTCGACTCAGAATGAGAGCCAAAAACATAATTTGGAATCGGTCAAGAAGACCAAGTGTTAATTGCCCCGCTGTAAAAGTCAGTTAAGTGATGGCGATGGACAACGCTGCAGACTTTCCATACATCTCCAATCTTCCACTTTTGACAGAAAAGGTGTATGCGCGCACACTGTCCATAATCTTGGGCATGTGTTTAACCCTTTCATTCACCCTGTAACCCGATAACATGATAAGCTGTCCACTGTGGTAACCGCTGTCCCTGAAAGGGTTCAAATCAAATAAGATCGAATATCTGTCTAAAACAAATAAATAAATACATAAAATAATCTGACTTTAATGCCCTAATAATAATAATACTCAGTTTGGTTTGACAAAATGATTGAATTCCTTTGTAAACCACATTGCATCATATTTAGAGATAAAGTGATCTCTCACTACTTCGCGGTTCACTTATCGCGGTTTCAGTGCATCGTGGATTTTTCAAAGATATTCATGATTTTTTTTTTTTTTTTAAATCGCGAAAATGCCGCAAAAGGTCGGCGAGAGGCCGCGAAAGTCAGCAAAACAACAGCGAGTCACATAGACCAACATATACAGTACTACATGTACAGGTATATGTTTACTGTATTTTGTTATTTATACAGTAACCTAACCTAACTTTATATATATACATACAGGTATATATATACAGGGTAACCCAAAAAAAAACGGGCCCCAACTCTAATTAGGCCCCGTTTCTTGGTGTTTTGTCCGAATGAAATGAAACTTTGGCCATAACTAGTTTATTATATGCAAAACATCACATCAAAACGCTAGGGTCTTTGGCCTTTTTTTCTCCGTTCCACAGCATATGTTCTAGACGGCCTCCATTTAGCTCCGCGCATTTCTTGAGGCGCAGCACGAAGTTGTCCATGACGTTCTTACAGACTGAATTGGTAATGGCTCTCATCTCCTCCCTGATGGCTTTCTTGAGTTCCGTGATGGTTCTGGGTCTCACGGGACATACCCATACCCATATACCCATACACATGTACATATACCTGTACAGGAGGTGGTACCTACTTCGCGGATTTTCCTCTTTCACGGGGGATTCTGGTCCCCATTAACCGCGATAAGCAAGGGATCACTGTACCAGTACTACCTCTTGTACAAGCATTCAAATGTGCAGGTGTACCGACTAAAGTGTCCACTCAACGTAACGGCCAATGCAATTGAAAGTCATTTCTAACAAGCCACTATTGATGTCAGCCGTGAGCAAAGTTGTTTTCACCTCGCTGTTGTGACATGTCTACTCCCAGTGAGGTATTCATCCCGGTCGAGCAATCTGGTTCACGATTATCACTTCACCCGCTTCTAATCAGGACGTGTTGCAAAGTCTGATAGTCGTATACACGTCCGTTCCATTTCTAGATGGAGTTTGAATGTGGACACATGCAGTTTGATTGCGACAGTCTCGGACGGCGTCTTGATTCATGCCAAAGTTAAAACATAAATATGATATCTGATCCATGGCTCAGAATATCACATATGGTACACAGAAGTTTATATGAACACTGTCTTGGTTCAGAACACGTCACATTAATAGTATATAGACTATAAATACCCAGTTGCTACTGGAGCTCTGCCTTTACTACAATAACATTCATCAAATGAAGTTTCTGCTGTCATCACCACTCGAGTCTTATGGCAATCACTGTGGGGATTGATTTCCCACTGGCCCACGCAAACCCACATGCAATTTTTAGCCAATTAAAGCGAACGGATGCCAAGTAATGCTATATCAGATGTTGCGGTCTGGTGGAGTCTTAAGTCTCGATTGCGTTAGGGCTACGGTAAAAGCCACAAGAGTGGTTTTCCAGCTCAACTGTCAAATAAATATTTGTAAGACGGGAAAAATAAAGAGGAAAATACCACAGGGCCGTCTGTCTTGTCCGTCAACTTGCACTACGGCACAAATAAGTGATTTTTTTTTTTCAGTAAAACATCAGAAAAGGTTAATCAACTGCTAAGCCGCCCAGTTACAAACAGAGAAGACAAAAAGAACATGCATGGCTTGATTCACCGACAAGCCTGAGGTCCATGCTCCAATCAACCTGCCACAATATAAGGCCCTCCTGGCAGCTGTTTAGATCTGCCAAGCTGACCAACAACTGTACAAAGTTCCTTTGATTTCTGCTACCATTTATGGTAAAACCCGCGGCCCCGCTTGAGCTAAAATAAGCCTACAGGTTTTTCAACAGACATGATGTCATTGCACAAGTATGTCTCTGGAGACAGAGGATGAACCGTTACTTTGGAGGCACAGCTCAGGGCCCGGACTCAGGTGAGTGGTCAAAAACAGAAAACAGAGATGTGAAGGGGCTTAGGGGCTGCTGGATGACTTCATCCTGCTACTGTCTTTATTTACAACACAGCATTTAGCCCTCATCAAGGTGATTTCGCAAGCATCCAAGTGGTGTGCCATTACGTCCTACTTGCTTTTCGTGGAACTGAATTAACAGAGTCGATAATTAGCTGTCATACTTACATGTTGCGACATGTTGTGAGTGCAGTGTGTACTTCAAAACCTCAACAGGACTTCATTGACTGGCATATAAATTGTACCTTACCTTAAATATTTATAACTGCGATAATTTGGATGAAATATTGACTGCGTTCACTTGGCCAAAAATATTCCAGCGGTTAGCTTTATTCTAAATAAGACATTAGGTGTATATAATTAGTTACTCATTGAATTT